AGATAGGTTCCATTATTAATAATAATTTTACGATTTGGTTATTTTTAGACCCAACCAGATACTCCATTCGCTTCACTTGATATTTAAAGATTTTAAATTTAAAAAACCCTGTACATATTTAGATCTAAAATCTCTCGACTTCCGAACCGAACATATCTACCTGTACATTCGCATATATGCACCATGCTTTAAAATGCACAGTATTTTATCCTCCTGAATATTCGTTTCCATCCTGTTACTAACCAGATTTGCAATTTCTGCTAATAATCGGATTTAAAATCAACCCTATTTTACAAGAAAATTTCTTTAACATAATATTCAAAGTTCAATTCAATTCATGTGTATCTTGAAATTTTGTAATTTTTATTTAAATAATAATTAAAATGTTGTTTGCAATATTTGTTCAAATGTTTGTGTGTGTGTGTATTTACATAATTCGGCATCAAATGCAGAGCATACATTTTTGTGTGTTGTAAGTCTACTAATTAAATAATAATTTCCTTTAGCATTTATTTTTAAATCCAACCAAATTTCCGGTTAATTAAGAAACTTTATTTTTCACATTTCCCTTGGCAGAATATGCAAATGAACTAAGCTAATACATACATACATATTTGAAGGTATACACAATGTACATACATTACCTATATATTGTGCACACAATGACCGACAAATATAGATGTGAATGTCATATATGATACTGGATGGGAATTGGAGACACGGAAACAATTTAATTTTAAAGTTGGTGTAAAATATTCTATGATTAATCAAATATTGATCAGGAGGGTCAGAGAATGATCCTGACGCTCAGAGATTGTTCCGGGCGGTCAGAGACTAGGAAAAAGGACACAATCAATTAATTATATTATATCCAAAAAAGTATACTTATTATAACCTCGAGAATGCAAACACAGAACAAACCAACATGACCTTAGAAATTCTCTCTCTCCCCCTTTGTTTTTCTCCATGTATACAAATATAAAAATCTATGTTTGGCCAATATTGTGTCCTCAAAAATATTAAATAATAAAAGAGGCAATATATTTGCTCTTGCATCTGTTGCAGATCTAAATGTTGTATATACTTCGTGTTGTTGTTTCATGATGATGTCTAAACGTGTTAGAAGAATGTGTTCATTTCCATTCCAACATTGTGGAACAACTGATGAACACACAACGTACAGATTTTAATGAAATTTTTCAGATATGTGTGTTGACAAACAAACACATTTTGACAAATAATTTACATGAGTGTGGGGCGGTTGTCAAAATCCTATGATATCTAAACTGATGCAAACATGTTCACTATTTGATGAAGTAATTTCACAATTCGTTTACATCATTACATACATGTTTACATTTGTTGTTAATCGATTTAGATTTAAACATTTTTATTTTACCAATTTGAATATATTTTCATCCTATTAATGCACAAAAAAACAAGGGACTATAGGTCTCTTAATAAAATTTTGCAAATTTTAATTTTCGGAGAGGTAATTTTAACTAATATAATAATCCCGATTTAGCCACAAATCCGAATTTTGACCAGGTGATAAAATTACAAAAAATTTTAATGGCTGCCTTTATTGAAAAATGTTAGTTAAAAACAAGTTTGATGGCTAAAACCAAAGCAACTAAAATTGTAAACTTGGTTTTTCTGGTTTTGGATCGGGTACTTTATTCACTTTTAAAAAACAAAAGCATAAATGCAAAATTCAATTTGTCTCAAATTATTGCTTGGACAAAATTATTATTATTGCCAATTAGTGCCTGGACTAAAGCAACTCTATAGTAAAAACAAATGAACTCTGAAATTTATTTGTACCGTTATGTTTTTGTTTCTACATATATTTCGATGCTTAATTAGGCTTTTAAATGTATTTTATTACAATGACATGTGTGTTTTCTATTTTGACTTACTGCAAAAAACATGAAAATCACAAGGTACAAATACCGTACACCGATGAAACAGCTAACTACCAGTGATTTTGAAAATAATTTATCACAAAAATTATTTTGGAAAAATATTCCATAAATAAATTTGTGTTTTCTCAAAATATAAGTTAGTTTTATGTAACTACACGAGGACGGCTCGGAAACTTCTTAGCCTATCAAGGAAAGAGAATAGTTAGTTTTTCATTCTTCAATATAATCTCCTAGAACTTCAATACTCTTAGTCCAAATTTTTGTACCAATTCTATCCCTTTATGAAAATAGTTTTCCTCAAGGTCTTGAAAATAGTGGTTTACAACTGTAATTGCATCTTCATTTGAGGTAAAATGCTTCTTCCCAAATCTAAGAAGAAGTAGTAATTGGTCCAAAAGTTTGCAATAGTACTCTGAATTTATAGATAGTCAATCAATAAAATACCTTTGAAGTTCCAAAAACCGTTGCCATAACCTTACTTACTTACCTTACATACTTTTTTATGTAAATATTTAATGACGGCACGCATTTCAAATATTTCCATTGTAAAAAAATTGCGGATGCGTCTTTTTTGAACACATGTTATATATGAAGGAGTTGCCAGATCGAAACTAATTTTAATATGTGTTCATGACAGAGATGGGAGTTTCCAAAACACTTAACTTCTTTCTGATTATACCGCCCTTTTTGTGGCTAAGAAGTTTCCCAAATGTCCTCGTAATGGTGAATTTGTATGTGAAAGCTTCACTTTCACACTCCAAAATAGTAAAGGCGATTCGTCTGGAAGTTGTTAACTAATGTCGAAATACTAGCATTAGATTATTCTAAAACTCCATTTTATTTTGTATGTAGGGTAAGTGCTCCTAATGTCGACATGTACCAATAGTCGGCATCTGTTGTATATAACTTCAAATAATTAAAAATTCCTACGACCATATATGAAAAATACATTGAATAATTTTCAATAATATTACAACGAATCTCTGTGTTAAATTTCATCTAGCTAAGTACACATATTCAGCCAAAATTTAGCATTTTGTTAAGCATTCATGTTTCTTAAGAAAAAATGGTGGATATAACGATTTTAAAAGACTTGTAACTACATTATAATTATGTACATTCCGCAATTGTAAAGAAGATATAGAAGAGCACTTTAGAATTTAAAATTATTAAAAAATATTTATAATTATGGTATTTTTATTGATGCCGTCCTTAAGAACAACATTTTTCAAGGTTTTCCTACATTCCTATATACATGTACTCTAAATACCGATTAATTTGTAAAAATTCAGTTTTGAGTGGTTTAACATAATAGAATACATGGCTTTAATCTTGAATTGGTTTAACCCCTAAAATGCGTAATTTAGCCATGCCGAAAATTGGATAACAGGTTTCTCAAAGTCCATATTTTATTATTGTAATATTTTAATGAATAAATTATTTTATATAACTTTTTCAATGCAACACCGATAATAATGATTTTTTAATGTAAATAACAGAAAAAAACGAAATTTCGAAACAGATGAACCTTAATATGGTGGAAACATGCTCTCGGGGTTATGAAGCTATATAAGCTATTTAATTGCTATTTTTAATGAATAAATAATAAAAAAATGTATAGTCTTGAACTGTGTATGATTAGTATACTTAATAGCGCATACTTTTAGGCGCAAAGGTATATGCATTAGATTTATGTTTTTGGCAACACTAAACACATAGTAACGCCATCTTTTGATTTGTAAAATCCAATTCTTTGTAAAAACAGCCCTGTACCCTAATCTAGTAAAAAAACAGCCAAATGTATGGGACAACCAGTACTGAACGACAGGTTGAGTTTATCAATCTCACTGACAAACAATTTCAGCTAAATTATATTAAATACAGCTAAATACATATTTGAGTTCACTGTAAATATATGTTATTAGTATATAAAAATACCTAAAATATCAGAAAAACTCGACGATGGTAAACTTGCTAGAATTTGACAAAAAATGTTGTCATTCTTCGTTCAAAGTCTTAAAAAATATTGCAATTTTTTTTAATAATGATATTGCTACCATATTCTTATTCCAAAATAAATAAATAAATCGATGTATTTTTAAATTTGCAAATTTTATTAAATTAATTTTGATAGTTGTTGTTTTTTTATGAAATAATTATTGATAATAAATATTTTTTTATAAATACAATAAATATGTATATATGTATAATTAATAAAAATTTACAATAGGATTTTGATTTAAGTTAAACTTAAAAAAGAGGATTGGTTCAGATCAATTAGTAGTGTACTTCTTAAATTTTTAATATAATAATAAATTATGTTAGGAGGAATATTGCACAAGTTCAACAATTGCTTTATTATTTCATTAAGTTGTCAACAATTCATTTTTTAGTATTTATTTTTTTTTTTTTTTAATTTTCTTGCTATTGTTTAACTATTTACAAACAATGAGGGTATTCAATAGTAATAATATTATTTCTATTATTATTATTATCAATACAAATTTGAGTTTTATATCAATACAAATGACCATTAAGGTTTGAATGATTATCATAAGATTCTTTAGAAAAGGATTTTGTTTTGTTTTTTATTGTAATAATTATTAATAATTATGTTAATAATAATAAAGTCAATAAATGGACGCGGTGCTTAATCAGTTAGTGTTCGAGGCATTTCACATAAAAATTTGTAGACTCAAAAAACTTATCATTAAAAAAGGCAAAAATTGTTTGTCATCCGTTAAATTGTCGGTTTGTTTGTTTTGTTGGTTGGTTTGTGGTTTTAGACAATATTCGAATAGGTTGTTGTTGTTGCTGTTTTGTTTTTATCCACAAAAAATGGATTTTATTGTAGATATTTCGACATTATTTGTAAACTCTTAAAGCTGCAGGTGTGTGTGAGTGTTTGTATGTATGCATGTGTATCTCTGTCGAAATATCAGTGTTATGTTTTTGTTTATGTTCGAGATGTTTATCCTAGTAAGGACGAAATAAAAGCTCTATTAATGTAAGCTCTGCTTCTAAATGTTATTGGTTTTGTATTGAAGGTTACACCATTTGAGGGGAGGATGGATTTTAGCTTTGTTGATTTCTGGCCTGCAAGTTTCGTAATCGTTCCTGCAAGTAATCACATATAGAAGAATAGTTTTGTTGGCGCGCTACTTGCAGTGCTGTTAGACCATCCTGATTTAGTTGTGTGATGTCGGTACCAGCAGCTATTAGTTGTTTCACAACGGTCATGTGACCAAACATGGCAGCGGCATGTAATGCGGTTTCGCCATTCTAAAAGGAAATTAAAAAAATATTGCATTATTAACATTTTGGAAACTTTTAAAAAATCTTACTGGCAATAAACCCAAATTTGGCCTATGTTTTAATAGTTCTGTAACCACAGCGGCATGTCCTTTGTGTGCTGCCTTAAATAGTGGCGTGGCTCCATCACATCGAACAGCATCCACATTTGCCCCATTTTGCAGCAATACTTTACAGATGTGATCATGACCCATTTGCGCCGCTATCCACAGTGGTGTAGCACCATCGATGCGTTTTGTGTCGGGGTATGCACCTGCTGTCAGCAGCAGTGACAATACTGTTCTATGGCCATTTTGAGCTGCTATAAATACTGGTGTGGCACGATCCTATAAAAGACAATTTAAAATTAGTATAATAATTGTACTCAATAATTATTCTAATTGTATTCCTTACTCACCTTCATGCATGCATTTACATTGGAACCACAGTCCAAAAGTTCCTTAACCAATTTTACATGTCCACCTTGGGCGGCAACAAATAATGGTGTTCCACCATCCTATAAAGGAATAAAAATTAGAAGTTTTTTATTTTTTCGCGAAGAAGCAATCCTTTTAAAAAAATTAAAAATTAATATTGAGTCAAATTTCAGGGTAGCCCCCAAATAACGGTATTACCCAATACTCGGTATTTTGGGGATTTTGGACAGGTTTTCGAAAGGAATTGGTTGCAATTGAATATTTTTGGTATCAAACATTTTTAATATTGACCCATGCTTTAGGGTGTCTCCCAAATACGGTACGCCAATAGTCAATATTCAGGGGATTTTTTAATGTTTTTCATTAAATTGGTATTTCCACTATAAAAATTATTAATATTTACCCAAGTCGGTATTTTGAGACACGTTTTTCAACCGAATTGGCTATAATGTGGTATTTTGTATTCTTTTTGGCTGTCAAATCTAATTATACTAAATGTTTGACCAAAGCCTATTTCACTATTTTGCTCCAAGAGACATTCCCAGACAAATTTCCAGATATTAGTCCTATTCGCTCAACAAAACAATTTTTTTTTCTTTCAGAAAAAATTTTAAAATACGTAAGGTAAGAACTTCACACTTTTAAAATTTTTGCTCTGAATTTACTCCTCGATGTTAATTGTACTGAATTTAGTAAAATGTTGTACCATTCGTACACTTCTAGTGGAAATTTCTAAAACCATCTACTTGTCCTACGCACTAATAGCAACGAATATCCCACATTTCATGATTCATTGTACTATATCAATATTAATTGTACTATGTTTTGTACCCGTTTTAATATTTTTTTGTTAACATACAGAACATATTTTCAAAAATAGCAACAAGTGGCTTATCAATATTTAAAAAAAAATTTAGAAAAAAAAAGTCAAATTTTAAAATGCGTAAAGAACGAATTTTCCTTTGAATTTACTACTCAATATCAATTGTACTAAATTTAGTACCATTATGTACTTTTCGTACACTTCTAGTGGGGATTTGTAAAACCACCTAATTATCCTAACTCTACGTAGTAAAAGCAACGAATGTATCACATTTAATTGTACTAAATTTGGTACCAGTTCGTGAACTTGCTGCACATATTTTCAAAACCAGCTCCGAAAAACAAACATGTGGCTTCAAACTGTCTGTATATTTTTTATTAAAGAAATTAAATTTCGAATTACCATCTCGGAAATAAAATAAAACTTACCACCGATGGTGTATCCACACTGGCCCCAGCTTTTATTAATATTTTCACTACATCCAAATAACCACCCTGAGCTGCAAAAAATAATGGTGTTGTACCGGTGGCACGTCGACTATTTGGATCGGCTCCTTGTTCCAAAAGTTCCAGTACACATGTTGTATGGCCTCCGGCAGCTGATAATATGAGGGGAGTTGTGCCATCCTGAAAGTATTACCGAAAAACAGAAATCAAACAATTAATTATTTGTGAAATTTTCAAAATACATTTCAAAGTAACCACAAATTGCATTCGATTTTTCAATTGTGGCTCAACAGAAAAAACGTAAACGTAATAATTGTGTAATTCCGGTAAAAAAAATCACAAAATGCAACAAAAAAACACCAAAACATAAAAACCTCAAAGCAGAAATTAACAACACCTCTGTGTTTATGGCAACAATATACCACCCGCCAGTTTGGCAGACAGTCAGTCAACCAACCTGCCTGCCTGCCAGCCAGCCAGCGTGTCAGCCAAATACACCATCTGCTCAATCATTAGACCAATTCATAACATGGCAGGGTACAAACAACATTTGCCAAAAACAAATGCAACAACTAACGCCAAGAAACATGAAAAACGATTTAATGTTATTCGAAAATTCGTGTATTGTTTAAACAGTGGCTTCCACATAATTGGTTCGAATATATGGCGATTCAAAACTATTTCAAAGGGAAATATATAAAGCCTTGCTGACAGGTTACCAGAATTTCAAATTTAACAAAATGTTAATCTTCAAATATCTTCTAAAAAATTGTTATTACTACATTCCCAAAATTTTGTATTAATACTGATGTGTGTCATTTCATTATTTGTTTACAATTTTGCGCTTGAATGTTCGATTAAATGAAGACTATCCCGCACCACCCAATAAAGGCCCACCGTAAAAGAAAATAATTTCAATTTCACTTAAACAATTTAGAAGCCACTCCAGCAACAACAACATCAACATTCATAACAATAGTATTTATTTATTATGCTGAGAAAGAAAAAACAAAAAAACCTACGTCAACAAATTAGCATTACATTGGCGTAGGTTTCATTTCATGCGATTTTTTGTTTTCGGTGATTGGTTGCTGTTGTTGTTGTTTTTTGAATTACCGCACGGTCAATTGCAAATAACAGATAGCCATCCCATACAGACAGACACTCGGCATTTATGAACAACGCTATGAAAAAAAGCAGAAGCGTTTTTCAAAAAACGAGAGCATGCGTGACTGTGTTTTTTTCGCTGTTAATTAATTAAATTAACATTGTTTTGCTTTTCTTTTCACCGGGTTTATTGGCGGTTAGTTGCTTTAATTATTCGCAAAATTTACGCAGAAAATTGTGTAGTAATTGGGCTACTTAAGGCAAGTGAAATCATTTAGATAATTATTAAAAAAGATAAACTAAATTTAATGAAGCATAATAAAATAAAAAATGAAGCAATATATTAGCCCACAGTGGTCGAATGATTGCCATTGCCGTCTTAAATACTATGGGTACCAACAACACCACCATCCGATTTAAATGATGAAAAACATGGCTTTACATCAAACAAGAATCTAGCAGCTCTATTTTATATATATTCAAATCTTCATATATACGACACTGTAGAACACCGATGATTTTAGGATATTTTTGGTAGAAGTCGGATTAACTACATATAGATCGTAATTTGTCCTCTAAACATATTTTTAAATAAAAATCAAATATTATATAAAAATCAAATAAATCACAAACCTCTCATAAATTTTATTTTTTGGTAATGAAATCTGACAGCCAATGAGAATACCAAATTAAAGGCAATTTGGTTGAAAAACGTGTCAAAAGTTATGAAAATATCGACTTGGGTCAATATTAATAATTTTTAGTGCGAGATTCAGTGATATTGTCATGAGAGCCAATTTGATCGAGAAACGTTTAAAAAATCTCCATATTGGGTGGTGCCATATTATGGAGGCTACCTGTAATGTGTGTGCAAAATTTCGGTGCTCTATCTATCTAGATTTCTACAGATGAGCAGACAGACGGGCATGCGTGGGGTCTCCGGTGAATATTTCGAGCTGTTGCAAACGTAATGACAAATTTAATATACACTCCACCTTATGTTGGAGGGTATAACAATATCAGAGCGGGTAGACCCTGTTAATATTTACGTATAACTTCCACAATTGAATTTGGTTTAAATTTAAAGGTCAACTACTCCACTTGGATATATTGTCAACTTTGCCGATCTAACTCCTTCAGAAGTAAATATATTCATCATAGCATGCGATTTTTACCATTTTTCACACAAAGTCAGGGTCCATTTGACCCGCTAAATATTAACCGATTATAGTGAAAGGCCCATGCTTAATCCTTGGTCAGATCCCCTCTCTGTGTTAAATTTCGTGATGTTAGGGCAATAATTATGGCCAGAAAAACAGACAAAAATTAAGTTTTCGGTCAATTTCATCCCCTAAATTTTAAACTATCATTACTAGAAAAAATTGGGATCATCTGTGGCTCTACATGCAAAATTTCATGAAGATTGTTCCAAAACTGTGACCTTTAGCGTGTTTAAAAATTATAATGGATAGAAGCAAGGGCACACATGGCTAGACTGACTCCGTTAGTCGAGATATGACGATCAGTCAACTAAGAGGTGGGTCAAGGACCCTTTCAAGGTCTTACAAACTCTTGGGACCACACAAAACTATAATAACTTACAACATAGTTTTGTAGGGTATAAAAAGCATTGCACAGTGAGTTAAGCCTTTAGTTAAAATAAAATAAAATCGCTGAACTAAAAGATATAAATTTCTAAACTGATTATTGTTGCTTCAATAAATCATTTCAATATTTCATTTACTCACCTCATCTTTACAATCCACATGGACTTTTCCGCTATCCAAGACTCGTCTCAGCGTAATATCATCACCTCTGAGTGCTGCCAAATGCAGCAAAACATCCGAAGGCGTTTCTTTCTGAAATTCCAAAAGAAAAAAAATCACTCTTTTAAAACACTTTCAATTTGTTTTCAGTTGTTGCAACATTATGATGCTACACTGCTACTAACGACTAAAACAATTGTTACCTATCTTGCCTACATTGAGCCCAGACAACAAGTGTCAGGGGTCAACAACAAAACCCACGACAACAACAGCAACTTGTTGCTAACTGAGCTACCAACAAACAAGCGAACTATCATCTATCAGCTACTATTCAATAAACAACAAATTAAAGTTCAACAAAAACAAATAAATATTTATATTTGCATAATAGCAGTGCAATCAATATTAAACGAATAGTATATTGATAAAGCCTTTTGAAGCGTGGTTGGTCAATAGCAGTGAGGAGGTATGGTACTATAGTTAATGTTGCAATATATTTAAGAAATTCATTGCATTATGGCTAAAATAAAACATTAATTTTCATTGTGAATAAGTTTAAAATATATTCATAAAAAAATACATTCAGATTTTTTCGTCCGTCTCCAAAAATACAGGATAGTCGATAATCCTGTATAGTTTTGCATCCCATATTGCTGTTGTGCATATTTATTATTTTATATCAATTAAAGCTCCCTAATCTCCTGGCCGTATACTGTACATTTTATTACACCGCCCTGCCTTTTTGCAAACATATCTGTAATTTGTTCAAAATATATCCATCCACAACATGTCCTACCCCTGAGATATACAAAGACGTTTTTCCTTCTTCTCTTCTTCTTTGTTATTTCTCCATAGACAACAGCCAAAAGGTAGCAGTTATGGTGGGAATCAGCAAAAGTGCACCTGATGCCATCAGAAAGAAGCTCAACAAGCAACCCACACTAGCTGGCAGCTTTTCTGTTGTTTTTGTTTACTGTCGATTGTATTTAGCTTGGCAATTTTCCCAGCACTCAACGAACAGACAGACAATGTTGTCGTTTAAAGCTGCAGCTGCCATAGGACAGAGAGGGGGTATTTCCAACTACTGTGCAAAAAAACAAAACAGAAAAAAACTTGCTGGGGCAGCGTAATTTAAAGTGTAAATGGGATGGGTCGTACTCAGCACGACGCCCTTCCCAAAATTCAAGACGTAACTCTTTTGGCATGTCAACTCATAAACGCCAAAAATTTAATGTCGAATACCGCCAGACAGATAGATAGACACAATCAGACAGACCGACATACGAAGTATGCCGACATTGTTTAATTCTTTTCTTTACTTCATTTTACTTTGCTGGTATTTTGGACTTTTAATTTCGTTGGCTTCAGTGCTGGTAAAATGGGTATTTGGGAATTTTATAGGTTTTGATGTGGGGGTTTCGTTTCATTTGTTGTTATAGTTGTTATTGGTATTAAATAACGTCAACAAACAGTCAATTGTCATCATCGTTATTATTACTGTGAAGAGCTTTATTTGAAAATGAAAACACTTTTCTGTTATTTAATTAACGATTACTGGCAGCCTAACTGGATTGGTGGCTCGCTGAGTGGCTGTCTGGTTGGTGAGATACTACAAATGTTTTCTTATTAGAAAACACAAGTGTTTTTTATTATTATTGTGTAATAATTTAATTACAAAATGTTAAACACAATCATTATCCAGAAGCAAATGTAGACATTTGAAAGATTCTCAATACCAAATATTTTCCGACATAATGAAATTGTTATATATAGATTTTAATATTAAAATTTAAATAACAAAATTAAATTGAAAACATTTGAAACTATTATGAAAAATTCCTTGATTTTTATTAAATGCTATATTTTATGTGCCGCACGCAGCAGGCACAGCATAATAAAATTTCCGAAATAGTTTAAACAATTTCATTGATATAGACATAAGGGTAAATAATTACAATTTGTTCTAGTAAAACGCCTATAATAATTGGTGAAAAAATACAGAAAAATTCAATAAATATAAATATTTTGCAATCTAGCAAATTTTTGTACGTCAGAGCACATTATTAATCCCATTTACTTATTTCTTACTATTTTTAGTACCTATTCTTTTGATTACACTGTTCGGCAAGACTTGGAAGGGTGGAAAATTCCTATTAGGGATGAAAGACCATGGTGAGTATATGAAAAACCCAGAAAAAAATCGCCATATGGCATAGCTTAGAGATATGGCGTGGTCATTTGTATTTATTTTTCCCTGATGACCGTATTATACATGGAGAGATTGCTCTATACCTTGATTGATAGCCATTGTACGTATTTATGGAGATTATATTTCTTCAATAACATCGAATGAGGAATTTTTTGTAAAATATTCCGTCCTTCTAACTCGATTCTTTGTATGTCCTTTTCGTGCTTAATTTATTGAACCGGACTCCAATTATTACATAAATATTGCTCATAACATTTTAGGTTGGGTCCTCAAATATGAGAAATCGATATTTAAACGTTTTAATAGGGGAGAGGGGGGCACCTTTGAACGTGGGGCACCTTTGAACAGCGCTCATAAAATCTTGGTTTAATATTTTTCTGACCCGCAACCACATTTTTGTATATGGCAATCTTGTTCTCTATATGCGTAAACCACTTTGGCTTGCTTTTTCACTTGTCGAAAAATTGTGCATGGGTGACCATGTTTTCTCAGTGTCATTGTAAACTTTTATTCATTTGGTTGTAAGGGCGCAGGAAGAATTCTGTGATAGTTTTCTTTCGTCAAACAAATTTTTTGCATTCCAACAATCTTTTCAAACATAACTACTGTAATTTATTTCATATATACTTATTACAAAAAAAGTTATTTTAAATTTCCGCAAGATGCCATGGGTGGGGCACCTTTGAACATGCCTATTAAACTCGAGTAAAAAAATGAGTTTTTAACTTTTGGATTCGATTTCTCTAAATTTCAAATAGGCTAATAAGATTACGAAATTAACTGTATTTTTCACCACATTAATTTTTGTTTTTAAGTCATTTTATGTTTTAATAACTTTTGATCTAAATTTTTTAATTTTGAACATTTTTTATATATTTTTTAATGAATTAATGCATTTCTGATATGTATGAATAAAATACATACATATTTGAACATAAACACTGTAAAAAACCATGTTGTTCAAAAATGCCAACCCCTGTTCAAAGCTGCCTCCCTGGGGGGGCAGTTTTGAACACTTTGAGTTCGTCCATTAAAACAGTAATAAAATATATTTATCAAGCTTAAAGTATGTCATATGTATATTCATTTTAAAGGTTACATATGTACCTATTACTTAAAATTTATAAGAAACCAAAAAATATAAAATAAAAAATTGTATAAGGCTTGAAAGCAAAAAGTGTTCAAAGGTGCCCCCCTCTCCCCTACAATTTTCTCAATATTACCCGACAAAATTTGAATATATTCAATAAAAATTCTTTATCATGAAGAACTGTCTGATTCGTCCGTTCTTTTTTTACTAAAAACGTGTATAGTTAGACCACATAAGCCAACAAACTAATTTCGGGTAAGAAAGAACCGGGTTTCTAAATTAAATTATTAAAAAATTGAACCGGATAGTCTCACAATAATACAGATAACAGTCCGATTCAGTAAATTTTGCGCGAACTTTGAACTAAGACGAAATTTTCCATTTCGGTGGGTTCATAACTCTTCTAATGTATATATTTCTGATCTAATAACCAAATCTCCCCACAAAAATTTTCAACATAGGTCCACTTTTTCGGATGCCCTCCATATAAAGGTAGCCACAAAATTATATCTTGAGTTTGAGGATTTTGGACAAGTTTTTTGGATTGCCCCCAAATTTGATCGTAATTTTCAACAGAATTCGCCAAAAAATTGGTATTTTGGATTTCTATTTGTACCAAATCTTTCTGACAAAATTTATTAATAGTCACCATCTTTTGGGGGTATTTTTCCATATAAAACTTATTATATCCTCCACCTCCTCGGAATATTCCCCGGAGACCCCACAATTATATATATTCTTGATCAGAATAAAAATCTATGTCGATTTACGCATGTCCGCCTGTCGAAATCACGATAGTGAAATTACTCCATGAAATTATTAAAATTACTCCATGGGGCCTAAAATTTAGGCCCCAAGTAACGGTAAACCCCAATATTCTCTATTTTGGGGATTTTGGACACGTTTTCCACCGAATAGGCTATAATTTGATATTTTAGGTTCTCATTGAATAACACATATTCGTACCAAAAATGATTAATATTGACCCAATTTTTCAGGTAGCCCCATATAACGGTACACCCCAATTTTCGGTATTTTAGGGATTTTTGGACAAGTTTTCAAACTGAATTGGCTGTAATGTAGTATTTTTATAGCCCATAGTAACGTTAGCTCCACTGTTAGACATTTTGAGAATCATATTTTTCGGCAATTTTAAGGTCCTATCACATAGACCAAATTTAAAATACCGGAAATCGGGAGGTATCATTGATTTTCGGCATTTTAAATATTTAGAGGTTCAAAAACATTTAGTCTAGTCCCCACATGAAGATACCTCCAGATTTTCGACGTTTCCTACAAAAGGTAAATTTTCTACCAAAAATGGAAATGCCAGATGACGGCATTTATATAGTAGCCCATGGATATAGTAATCAGGAAATATATATAATAACCCGCCGAATATTTCAATCTTATAAAGAAGTACATAAAAAATATTCTGGTGGTATCCTGCTTTTTTGAAAAAAAAAATGAAATATAATCCGAGAAAATATCAAATACTGTTCATTTGTTTAAAACTACATTTCTTATTGTCTGTATTTTGTGCTATAACCAATAAACATAAAAAACCATGAAATACTTGATACACATTTTTCATAATTCTAGGCGGTGATTTAATGTCATGTTAATTGTTTGTGTCTATAAATACTTAGTTTGTAGGTGCTAAAATATAAGAATGTGTGGTTGGATAACAACAACAAAATCCGTAGCATTTGAAACAATAGCAGCAAATTCCGATTGAAGAAGCGTAGCGCTAGCTATTTTATCTATAAACGGAACAATTATTATTATAGTTTA